AGATCTCTCTTTTACATTTTATTCATTCTTTAAATTTTATTTATTGTATTTTATGTTTCTTAAACTTTCATTTTTTGTCTTCAAAATATTATTTTTATACGGTTTCTATAATCTTATTAATTTATGTGATTTATTATATATTAATAATAAAAAATAATGTAGAAAAAAGATAAAAATAAAAATAGAAAACCACATACACTTTTTATTTGGTGTCATTTTAATTGTTTTGACGAAAACTTCAAATGATATATTTTGTTATAAAAAATAATTATTTAAATTGTTTTCATGATTTTATCACCGTCAAAAGTATTACGTAAGGTTCACGCATGCAATTTGTTGTTTTCGATGAGTTTTGTATGTTTTCCCTTTATCAGAGTAGTAAATATTCGATTTTGATCTTACAGGAGTGATTGTACAGGTGAGTGAATTCTTTTGTTTTATGGAATCCAAGTTTTGTGAATGTGATGATACTTATGAGATCACTAGCCAAATTGTTTATTGATGCTTATATTTTATTTACTATTTGATATTTAATCCATTTTAATTGATTGTGTGTTTGTTGGTAGTACTTAGTATGGAATGCATATAGATTTGCTTCGATAATGGATTCTTGATGCTTATACTATATTTACCTTTTTCATATATCATTAATTGATTATGAAATCATGTATTTTTGCAAATAGTAGTGGTTTGATGTAAGTTATACTTTGCACACCGTATTTGTTAACATTTATATTGATTATTTAGTAAAAAAAACACTAAACAGCTTACTAGGGGTAAATTGGTCATTTTAACAAGTTCTGTCCGGTCATCTCATGTCTTACCAAACGCTGAACAGCTGTTCTGCCATGTTCTGTCCTGTCATATCATGTCCTGTTTTATCATGTTCTGTCTACATACCAAACGCACCCTTAGAAATCAAATCGAAAAGAGTGATGTGTCTCTTGCTGTATTCGTCGGCAAGGTTATCTTGCTAATTAATCTCTGTAACTTCAAGTTTTGTCCATCAAGTAACATATGGAACCCACCACTTGGCAATTTTTAATGTGTTTTTAATTGTGTGACAGTGAGCAAACATCCATTCCATGGAATCAATGTGTGCTTAATTAGCTTTAACCATACAAGATCTGTAGCCGTCAGTTCCAGGAGGTATGGGTTGGCAAAAACCCAAATTTTTGTAAGAGGAAATGAGGAATTAAAGAAGACTATTTATGGTAACTAATTCAAGCATTGATCAATATATTATATGTTAAGATTTTATATATCCATACATAGGGGTGTTTAAAAACCCGATCAATCCGATCAACTCAACCCAACCCAACACGAAATAACCCAACCCGAAGCAACCCGATGTCTAATCGAGTTGTAAAATTGTCAAACCGTAGGTATTGGGTTACTATTATATGAACTCAACCCAACCAAATATCATTTTATTTCTTAGATTTAATATGATTGTTGAAATTCTATTAATATATACATTACACAATTACATTATCATATATGTTTTTCATTTACACATATTTTCAATTTATTCGCATCTTTATATAACTCATTCGTATATATGTTCAATAATTGTGAACATATATATGTAAATTGAGAAAATTAATTGAATGTGACATACGTTAGAAATGTCGATAAGTTGTATCAAATATTTGATGATAAAAAGAAATTATAAGTAGAGAAATAACTTATTCAAGGTTGGAATAATATTTTAATATACCAAATTATCAACCCGTACAGGTACGGGTTGAGTTAAGATTTTTTCAAACCGCAAGCATTAAGTTGAGTTGTTCAAATGTCATCAACCAGATCAACCCAACTCATAAACACCTCTACCCATACACTTTAAACGTCCCCACACAGACAAATAATTCTTAATCTTTTATTAGTAAAGCATATAGACCTGGGTCAAGAGAAATCTTGAGTCGATAACGCTTTGTGTACAACAACTTTCGCCTGAGTGAGATCAAATCAAATATTATGAGATTTTAGGTGGGTCATGATTGCAACATCTTACCAAAAATGGTGCTCATTAAAGTTGTTTGCAATTATTCGATCCACACAGAGAAAGAAAGTGACTTTTTTGTATAATTAGGGTTTTCTTTTACCACATAGGGAAAGGGTAATAATGTTGATGTATAAAGATAATCTTGGTCCATGCTGTCTGCTAGCTTGTTGACACAAAGGTAATATTGATATAATTGAAATGGTCGTCTTCTAGCTTCCAGGGTCGGCCTTTGTCTTTGCAACCCCTACGACCGTATAGGACGTTAAAGGTCCAGAATACATCAAGTTATCATTTATTACATGTTTTAGATTTAATAATTTTAAACTTACACAATTGGGTTTTAATTATAAAAGCAGGTCCAAGGCTTCGTAATGATAGATAGATATTGAACGCACGTCATATTGAAATTGACAATGTACGTGAGCAGATCACTGTATCAGTATAATTGGAGCACGTTGCACAATAATAACAACATATTGTGATATTTTCTTATTGGACACTTGTTCTTTGCAATGTACAATAGCGTAGATTATGAATTTTACAATTTATCATTGGTTCTTTTACCTTTTGTTTACTTTGAGGTTATGTCATTACCTTATTAGATTTAGACTTTACTCTTTAGACTTGTATCTTTATGAGTTTTGCTCTTTGCTTACTATGACACTAAAAAAAATGAGACAATTCCTTAAATGAAAATCTTATTGGACCAAAATCCTAAACCCACAAGGAGGAGAAAATAATTTTACCAAAGATCCCTCAACTTCCAACAATGCCGGATTTTTTCCTGAACTTTCCATTGCTATATATTTTTAAAACCCGACCAACTACAATTTAAAACCGAACATTACAAATATCACTAATGAAGTTATGAATAGGTATAATGTCTTTTGTTGTTTGATTTTCTTAATGCAAAACGTTATTTATTGCGATTTTGATCATCTTTATAGGTTTTGTTATACAAACGGTCAAATGGGGTTTTTATTTACACGACCAAACAAATACCCATGTATCCTAACATAGGTATAAACGTAGTAGGTTTTATGACATTGTGAAAGAATTTAATACTTTGAAATTGAATAAATTTCAATAAATGTTTTACATCCCGTTGCATTATACGAAAACACAACTAGTTTAATTAAAAAAATAGTATCTAAGTTTATTGCTCTAGGAAATTCTTTCTTTAATCACACCATTATTGAATATAGAAAATGAAGATATATATAGAGAGGGAGAGTGAGAGGAAATTCTTTCTTTCATTACACTATTATTGAATATAGAGAAAAGATTTACATATAGGAATTTTTTTTCTTTAATTACACTATTATTGAATATAGCAAAAGAATATATATATATATATATATAGGCACTACACCAAATGTTGCCTTAGACAACAAATGTAAATTACCTATGTTGCTTAAGATACGCCAAGACAACAAATGCTATTTTATGTTGCCTAAGTTTCCTCTAATGCAACATATGGTTCTATGTTGCCTAAGTGTGACCTTAGGCAACATATAAATAATTCTATGTTGCGTGCATATATCCTAGGCAACATACTAACCTATGTTGTCTTAGTTCAATGTTGAACACTCATAGTTTTTTTTGAAATCCGTCAAAGTTTACTTAGTCAACATATATTCTTATACTATGTTACCTAAGGTAAAAACAAATCCAACAAAGTTTACTTAAGCAACATATATTCCTATTTCTATGTTGCCTAAGGTAAAAATTATAAATTCAACC